TCGCCTCAAACATTACAACTGTGAGGATGGCACAGGACCAGGCAATATTTTATTCTGTTGTGCATCAGGTTGTTCTATGAGCTGAAGCCAACAAAACACACAGACACACACACACATTTACATATAACAACTTAAGAAAATAGATTTTTCCACATATTTTTGAAGTCCCCTCATATATATATATATATGCACACATATACATAGAGCAAAACACGAAGACAAATTTATAAGAAAGACATAACAAATGTTGGTGTTGCTGTATACATCAGTAGTTCACTCTGCTTCATTGCCAAGTGTGGGAATGCCACAGTTTAAACTTTCATCAGCTGACAGGCATTTGGGTTGTGTCCAGGTTTGGGCAATTATGAATAAAGCCACTATAAATATTAATGAACAGGCTTTTCTACAGACATGAAACTTTATTTCTCTTCAGTAAATACCTTGGAGTGAGACTATAGGTTATGAGCGATGTTTTAACTTTGTTATAGGTTCCTGAACTCATTTGGCCTACTGCCCCATTTTCAGAAGAAAAAGTTACTCAGCGTCCCAGGCCAGTAAGATCTTTTGTACTCTGTCCACAAGCGATGATAAAATATAGATACATTTGCTTCTGCAGCCCCCTAGGTCGTTTCAGGGCACCCTTTCCCCACCCGCAGGGGAAGCAGTATTGCCCACTCTGGGAAACACTGCTGTAGAAGAAACTGTCCAATTGCTTTCCAGAGTGGCTGTTCAACTTCCGTCTCCATCAGCAATAACTGAGAGTCTCTGAGTTGTTTGAGATTTCTGCCCACACTCAGCACTGTCCCCACCAGCCGCTCTGCAGGAGAAAGATGAGTCTGTCTACTCCCATAAAGATTCAGTACCGCAGGAACCCCAGGGAGCAGTTCTATTCTGCCTGATAAGGTCACTATCAGTCAGAATCCACTGGACGGCAGTGGATTTGAATTGGCATGTAGTGATATCTCACTGTGCTGTTAATTGGCATTTCCCTAATGACTAATGATGTTGACCATCTTTGCATGTGGCACATAAACCTAGGCAATAGCCTCACAATAAAAATCATGTAATTATTTTCCCATTTACTAAACTAGTGAGGGAGGGTGAGCCTGGGTAAAGCAGAGCATCACAATGTTCGCACTTGTCTTGAGGATGCCCCCTCAGGCTGTTGTGAGGGTGTAGATGTAACACAGTAGATATGTTTTTAAATGTGTGAAGTACTGCTATATATCTAAAGAAGTATCAGTGCTACTAAATACTAGAATGTCAGAGAGATGTCAACCTTTCCGGGACCTCCCGTCAGCCAGAGAAGAGAAGAGGTCTGCCCTGCCTTCGCAGCACCGTCTCCGCCTACCACTCTGGGGTTGTCCAGAATCAAGCTGGCTTTCAGTGTGCAGACAAGCTGATGTTTCCGGGAATAAAATGTCCTTTTCCCTTTCACAGCCACCAGGACAAATGAGCTGAGCATTTCAACAATGACGTGGGATGGATTTGTCATTTTAGAACGAGAAGCCAGCCAACTCCTAACCCTGTTCTACCTCCTCCCCACACATAAGCAAATCTTCAGGCTTCCAAAAATGCAAAAGATCCTCACTCTCCATTTGTCTTTCGAAAGCCTCAATCCTTAAGTCACAAGCAAACGGAACTCCCCTGGACTACCAAAAATCTCTGGAGCGGGAGCGGCTCAGAAAACAGAAGGTTCCACAGAACCTGGGTAGACAAGGCTGACTGGGACCAATCAGAACCCTGAGGATGGCTGCCGTTCCAAGCAAGTCCCCCAGGAGTCTCTACACGTTCTACTGATACACCAAAATACGAACACCCCAGGGTTTGGGTTCCAGTCAAGAACACTACTGGACACAGAAAAGGAACGCTTACCTTTCTTTCTTTCAACAGCCGCTTATAGCCATTTGATCCAAGGGATAATAAAGTAATAAGGACATCTAAAGACGGTGAAGCTGAAGCTCTGCCTGAAATGAGGATGAACAAATTACCTTCTGAGGAGGGAACGAAAGCTTTGGGAAGTAAGATGTATGACAGCAGCCTCTGTTGGGGTCCGCGTCTTTTTGGGGGGGAAGACAATGATTTATTTACCTGGATACATCTTGCTGATTTCTTGAATGAAGGCATCATTAAATCCAGCAATTATAGCGCCACCTACTGGGACCATAAAATTTTTGTCCAAGCTCTGAACAAAAGCATCTATTCTACCAACCCGGGCCCCCTAGAATCAAATGACAGACAATAAGGCATATTAGTGGTTGGAAAAACAGGCGGCATACCACTTCTATTAACCAATACATTCTATTAACACAATCCACAGCAATCAAAAGCAGAAGTTTACATTGATTCTAGCAGGGCCAATAAAATGCTGTTAAATATTAAAGGTGATTTGACAGTGGTGGCCCGTGCGTTTGGAGCGGCACTTTACTCCTTGACAGCCTGCTTCCGTCATCTCGTCCTCATGAGAGGATGAGACACTGAGCTCCTGTCTGTTCCCCTGGGAACTGCATGGAGACAGAGCTTTACATCTTGGAATGAGGGCAAAGAGGGAGGGTTCCTCATGTGCCTCCACTTTGTGGTCTGATTTGACAATCAACATCAACAATGGGTCCTGAAGAAGCCTTCTCTGGGAGTCAAAAAGTTAACCCACAGTGCCAAATCCACTGTCATCAAGTCGATTCTGACTCCTGGTCACCCAAACGCTTCCCAAGCTGCCAATCAGTTAATTCTATACCTGTGCTGTCTACTTTAAGCAACAAGCTCTGCTCCTACCTCCACTCACATAACAAAAGAGAAATGCAAACTTTAATTCCTAACATCCACTAATGGAAATTCTACTTGCATACCCTTGGCATTTCCAAAAGCAATGGATAACTCACGTTTCCTAGCATACTCTGTAGCTCTGAGGATCTAATTCCATTGCCAATGAGCTACAGGTGAAAGTTGAATAATCTGTTATAAAGCTGAATGCTTACTGACGAGAGATGCAAAACTAAATTCAGGCGCCTGTCCAACACAGTATGCGAACTTCTGTCTACTGTGCTTCAATTTTCTCCTCTTAAAATACAGATACTATCTCAACTCCACCTCAGATAGGTTATTTCCCCCTTATCAGGTGCCACAGTTTCCATCTGTATTCCCTACCTACATTTCTATTACTATTACAACCGCCTTTGACCTTCATCTGCACTGCTGCGCAGCACATCCGTATCTTAGAGAGATGAGGCGAGCAGATAGCTGGCCTAATCTAAGAGACCAGACAGGGGCAGCAAAAGCAGGAAAGGTGGGCAGACTTCTCAGGTAGCTCTCACATGTTGTTCACATTGAATCCTGCCCTTCTTTCTCTTCTTTCCAAGTTCCTAATACGCGGGGATCCATCTCACACAACAAAGAGGGTACATTTAAGACTAATGGGATAAATAATTGGACACATGCGAAGTAGCAGCGCTTAAAAACAAAGTTTAATAGCTACAGCTGCTGCCTCATTACCATTTAAATGCAGGTCAAGGCACCAAGGAACCCTGGTGGTTTACAGGGTTATGTGTTGGGCTACTAACATCAAGGTCAGCAGTGCGAAGCCACTAGCCACATCCCCAGGAAAAAGAGGAAGCCCTCATTCTACTTCCAGAACGAGTTACAGTCTTGGAAACTCACAAAGGGCAGTTCTACTCAACTGGGCTGCCACGGGCTTCCAGAGAAACCGATTTAGGACCAGAAGTGCCAGGGCTCCTGGCATTGCTGGACCCCTTCAGCACTAAACCAGAAAAAAATGGGTCAGATCCAGGGTCAAGCATTTGAAGGGCCTTGTTCCACACACTCAAGCCAGGGGTTACACACCCAGGAGGAACACCCCAGCAGCCAAGGAAACAAGTAGGGCAACAAAAGTGCTTGGTGGACTCTTGTCAGTTCCTGTACAGTGAACCCTCGTTTATCGCGGTTAATCGGTTCTAGACCCTACCGTGATAAATGAAATTCCGCGAAGTAGGATTCCTTATTCAAGTCGAAATGGCGTGCAACCTCCACGATATTCTTGCCATCTTTGATCATATCCAAAAGTTTTACCTTTTCCTGGATGGTGA